TGGGGCCCTGCTGAGGGAGGCGCTGGAGCTGGTGACTCTGCTACTGGAGTTGTTTCTGCTGGAGGTTCTGGAGCTGCTGAGGGTGCTGGAGCTGGAGGTTCTGGAGCTGCTGGAGGTGCTGGCACTGGTGGCGCTGGAGCTGGAGGTTCTGGAGCTGCTGAGGGTGCTGGCACTGGAGGTTCTGGAGCTGCTGGAGGTGCTGGCGCTGGTGGCGCTGGAGCTGGAGGTTCTAGAGCTGCTGAGGGTGTTGGCACTGGAGGTTCTGGAGCTGCTGGAGGTGCTGGCGCTGGTGACGCTGGAGCTGGAGGTTCTGGAGCTACTGAGGGTGCTGGCACTGAAGGTTCTGGAGCTGCTGCGGGTGCTGGCGCTGAGGGTTCTGAGTCTGCTGTTACGCGGTCTCCTTGAAGTAGCCGCCTTCGTCCGCGTGTGCCTCTCACCTCACAGCAGCTGCACGACTGGTACGGTCGCCGTCAGGGTCGCGCTTCTGGAGCTCGGGGCTCTGCCGCTGGAGGTACTTCTACTGACGTCACTGGAGCTGGGAGTGGTGCTGGTCCCGGAGGTGCTCGTACTGGAGGTACTGGAGCTGCTGGGGCTGGAGGTGCTGAGCCTGAGTGTGCTACTGCTGGGGACTCTAGGTCTGGGGGTGCTGCTACTGGAGACACGGAGGCTGGAGACCCTGGGACTGGAGGTGCCGGTTCTGGGGGTGCTGCTGTTGGTGGAGCTGGTCCTGGAGGAGCTGCCGCTGAGGGGTCTGGAGCCGCTGGGGGTGCTGGAGCTGCTGGAGGTACTAGAGCTGCTGATGCAGGTGTTACTACACAGCCGCGCCTGTTCTTCGCTCCACCGTCTCCGTCGTCTCAGCCACCGCCTGACTCTGTGCTTCGCCAGGTTCTTAGTCTCCCTTCGTCTACTGGTCTTCCGTTACAGCCTGGCTCACCGCTGCCTGCTCCTTCTCCTTACACTGAGCAGACAGGGGGTCTTACTGAGCGTCGTGAGCCTGCGTCGCGTCCTGTCTCGCCTGTCCGTTCTGGTTGGTCCGGTCGTCGTGTTCCTCGTCCGCGTCAGCCAGACCTCGTAGTCCGTCGTCCTTCCTCTCCTTCGCAGCGTGTTCCTCTGCCGTCTCCTCCTGCGTCTTCTCTGCCTGTCGTTGCGGACCCTGAGTCTGACCGGTTTCGTGCTGAGCACCCTACTGTCACGCGTCTGCTAGCCACTGTTGTCACTGACCCGTCGTTTGAGTCTGTTGCTGCGTCTGCCTTAGTCGCTGAGCTTGTTGACATTGCTGCTGCCTATCGTCTAGACTACGCCGCTAGTCTTGTTGCTGAGTCTGAGTCTGTCTGTCCTCCGTCCGTCGGGGGTGAGTGTGCTCTTGGCACTGACGTCCTTGAGGACAGGCAGGAGGACCTTGAGTGTCTTGCAGCCGCTGCGCCTCATCTCGTGTCCATGCTGCTTGCCCCTGAGGGAGACCCGGATGCTCCAGACATCCCGACCCCGCGCTCTTACGCTGAGGCGATAGCGGGTGAGTACTCCTCTTAGTGGCAGACAGCCATGGACGCAGAGATGGCATCCTGGAAGTCCACAGGCACTTACGTCGACGAGGTTCCCCCACCTGGGGCGAACATCGTCAGTGGCATGTGGATTTTCTGGGTGAAGCGGCCGCCGGCTTCTCCGCCTGCCTTCAAGGCGCGTTACGTTGCACGAGGTTTCAGTCAGCGAGAGGGAGTAGACTTCTTCCAGACCTTCTCCCCCACCCCGAAGATGACCACTCTTCGGGTGCTGCTGCACGTTGCCGCTCAGCGTGACTACGAGCTTCACTCTCTTGACTTCAGCACAGCCTTCTTACAGGGCAGCCTGCACGAGGAGATCTGGCTGCGCCGCCCACCTGGCTTCACTGGGTCGTTCCCTCCTGGTACCCAGTGGAGCCTCAGGCGGCCGGTCTACGGTCTCCGCCAGGCGCCACGTGAGTGGCACGACACACTGAGGACGACACTTGCGGCTCTTGGGTTTGCTCCGTCGACTGCTGACCCGTCGCTGTTTCTGCGCACCGACACTTCGCTGCCGCCGTTCTACATCCTCGTGTACGTCGACGACTTGGTCTTTGCCACTGCTGACACTGAGGCTCTCGCCCTGGTGAAGTCGGAGCTGCAGAAGAGACACACGTGCACAGACCTGGGTGAGCTGACAAGCTATCTTGGCTTGCGGATCACCCGGGACAGAGCACGCCGCACCATCACACTGACTCAGTCACACATGGTGCAGCAGGTCCTTCAGCGCTTCGGCTTCACCTAATCCTCGGCACAACACACTCCTCTGGCTACAGGTCACTCGCTCTCAGCTCCACCTTCGGACGAGTCCGTAGAGCCGAGTGGTCCTTACCCAGAGCTAGTGGGCTGCCTCATGTACCTGATGACCTGCACTCGTCCTGACCTTGCGTACCCTCTTGGCCTTCTGGCTCGCTACGTGGCTCCTGGTCGGCACCGAAAGGTGCACATGGATGCTGCTAAGAGGGTACTACGCTACTTGTGCAGTACATCGGGCATGGGGCTCGTGCTTGGAGGACGGAGCGACGTTGTCCTCACTGGGCACTCAGACGCTTCTTGGGTTGACGACCAGGCTACGCAGCGGTCGTCACAGGGTTACACCTTCAGCCTTGGCTCTGGTTCGGTTTCTTGGCGTTCTACACGCTCGTCTTCAGTTCTCAGCTCCAGTTGTGAGGCTGAGATCTACGCCACAACCATGGCTGCACAGGAGTTACGCTGGCTCACCTACCTGCTGACCGACTTGGGAGAGCGGCCTCGTTCTCCTCCAGTGCTGTACGTCGACAACAAGGCCGCCATTGCCTTGTGTCAGGAGCACAGACTGGAGCACAGAACGAAGCACATTGCTCTGCGTTACTTCCTGGCTCGAGAGTTGCAGCAGCGTGGTCAGCTTCGTCTTGCTCACGTGGCCACTCGGGCCAACACTGCTGATATATTCACCAAGGCGCTTCCGTCTTGTGATCATCAGCGTTTCTGCACTCTGTTAGGCCTTGTGCCCTTGTTTCCTCACTTGCTGTAGACTTTGCTTGTACTGTGATCTATATATACCTGCATGCTTGCTCTGCTAGGTAGAGATCACTGTGCTGTTGTTGTTGCATATATACCCCTGCATGTGAACTGGCCTTGTGGCCCTTTGCTTGTGCTCAGTGTGTGTGGTGACGTTGAGATCCACCCTGAGCTTGCTTTGCTTCTCTTGACTGGTCTTGTGACCCCTTGCTCTCCCCCACTTTGCCTATGGGGGTGTGTCAAAGCATATGCATGTTCTATATGTGTAGGCTGTAGTGGGGTAGCCAATGTGGGGTACAGCCCCTTTTAGGGTTTCATACTTGTACCCAACTCTTTCATAGTTCATTCATTCCTGCTGCTAGATTCTGACAAGATGATGGGCGGATGAGAGGATGGGCGGATGAGATGATGGGCGGATGAGATGATGGGCGGATGAGAGGATGGGCGGATGAGATGATGGGCGGATGAGAGGGTTTAGTGGGTCACATGTACTGCGCTGCCCGTGGGCAAAAATAAAACACATTCGGGCCTGGCATGCGTTAGGGATGCATCAACCCTAAACACCTTTCCTCTAGGTGTTTAGGGTTGATGCCTCCCTAACGCATGCCAGGCCCGAATGGGTTATTTTCCCGCTGGCAGCGTAGTACTAAACTTAACTAAATAAATTTTGAAATGTGTGGGAACAATAAAACAGATCGCGGTTTCCGCGACCATAGGCAGGCCACGTGGCGATAATAAAACGAAGAGCGATTCCGCGGGATTGAGCAAAATTCTCAACGACCAAGAAAGCGTGAATCTTGTGATCACCCTGTTCGTGCTGGCGTGCTGTTACTGATGTGCAGTGCGGTGCTGTATGGTTCACTTTGAAGACTTGTTTGGCTTTCATGAAGGCGACTCTGGCCAACCTTGCATCTCTGATTGACATGTCGGCTGATTCGTTGGCGGCATGTTCGATAGAAGGGGCAACGCAGTGATTGTGTAGGTAATGCTTCCTGAGGTCTTCCAAAAACACCTCCTCCTTCTAGCCGTCAAATTTTGCACTTCTGTGAGTGCATTGCTCATATGGGGAACCGAGTCAACCACAAGCGGGGACCTTTGCGAAGCTGAACCAGAGTTTCTTCGCCCAGTTTCGCAACTGTACCCAAGATCTTGTTGCAGCTTCTGACCGCAGTACAGTAGACGCGTGCTGGTGAGATGTGCCTCGTCAGCACATTGCACTGGGCGCCTGCTCCGAGATTTCAGGATCTGCTGCTCTCGCGTCGCGAGATCGCCCGCAGGAACAATTGGCGCGCTCATGTGCTCGACGAATTCACCTGTCTCCTTCATTACGAGGCGCTATTGACCGTGATTGGTTGTGATGGCAGCAATTTCGTGAACTGTAATAGCAAAAACTAGTTGCGCCAGTGGCGGAAAGTTTGGTGGCTCCGCAAGTCGGTCCGTCAGGTTCATCACGTGGCGATGGAATGTGCTGTCACAACTGCATTTCTCCTTGCGGACAGCGAAGTGCACTTAGCTAAACTTCTTGTAAAAGTCTGTAGAGAGACTGCTCTTTCTACCGCAGCGATCTATTTCTGGATGAATGCTGATCTAGTGTTTAAAATGGTTTGTTTCGGGAAGGTACATCGTAGCCTTCGCTACTTTTGCCGCAATTATCCGCATCTTACATCCGCGGAGATGTGGCGCGGTGCACCGTGCCCCCACCCCAAGCCCTTGCTCCCCCCGCAAAAGCGGCGACAGCAGTATAAATAGAGCCCTCGTCCTTCAATTGTGCATTCATCTTCCAGTATCCATCATTTTACCTCATCTATAATTCTCTTGTAAGCCCGAGAAGTTGAATAGAGGCGACAGCTTAGTTCCCTCGCATACCTAGAATTGCAGACGTTAGTCCCTCATTGCTAGCTAGTTACGTCGACACCATCCGTATCTGAACCCCTTTTTATTTAACAAAGTTGTTACGCTGACATGGCTTTGGAATTCGCGGCTTCACCAGTGATCGCAGCAATCCCGCCTGCCGCAGGACTCCGCTCAACTCAATTCCCATCAAACGAGGTCCGTCATTCGATTAGGTTCTATTCATTTTCTTGCCACATTGGGGTTTGCCATAGGAAATTGGTATTAGACTGTCCATCCCTTGAAGGATTCGTGATTGATTGTACGCGGTCCGTATACTCCTGATGTTCGCAATCTCACTTGGCTTTTCCTGATGTTCCTTTCCGTTTGGTCGCATGTTACTATCCCGAATCTGCGACTTGCTTGACATCACCGTGGTTCCACCCGACATCCTGACCGCGCATGACCCAACGCAACCGGTCGCCATCGCTTCGGCATCTGGCTTCAACGGCAATTGTCACTATGCGATCCTGCAGCACTCTCATTGGATGGGCTCCTCGTTCTTCGGGTACATCCTAAACCCTTTCTCACGCGATTCTCCTTACGCTCTTTTTCTTATGTTTCAATTAACTACTGTTCCTTTCTCACCCTTCCATTCCGCTCTGCTCCACGTCCATCGTTTAGTAACCTTGAGTCGTCTCAAAGCTCAAATCAATTGTCACCGTAGCCCATCCATTATCCGACCGTCAAATCCTCATTTCCCCCACCACCACTCGGGCGTCTCCCCTTTTCCCCACTTCCCCACGCCCACGCCAGCACCCGCGCGCCATATCGCGGGCCTACTCTGCTGCCAGCCTCGCACGCTCGCGGCTCGCTCTTCCGTCCCTCGCCGGCGCTGCCGCTTGCCACGCCTCCCTGCGCGCGCGCGCGCAATCCGCAATCGGTCACCTCCGCCTCCGCCGCCGCTTCCGCGTCCGTTTCTGCGGCGTCGTCTGCTGCTGCTGCTGCGTCTTCTTCCAACGGCGCATCGACTCTCGTCAAGGGCGCCGCGGTTAGGTCTTCTCGCCTCGATCCTCTCCTCGTGCCATCTGAACCCGTTACAAGCAGCTCCGCTTTCGCGGACGGCGAACCGCCTTCCGCCCCCGCCGAGAATGCAATCAGCGGCGCGTCCTCCGCGGATGCCCCGCGCTCGCTGCGCTCGTCGTCGCCCACCCGCGAGCCCGCGCGCCCGGGCCTCATCGAGTGCTGCTTCGGCCCGGGAACCGCGCCGTCGGTCGCGGAAGCTGCCAGCAGCCTCCTTGTCCCCCTGGCGGAGCACGCCCTGTCCAATTGGGCGCTCCCGAGCGGCACGAGCGGCGGGCGCAGCGGGTCGGAAGCGCGCGTGCGGAGGGCGAAGCGCGCGGCGCAGAATCTGGAGGAGGAGAAGATGCGCGAGGAGCGGCGGAGGGAGTTAAGCGCGCTGGTGGAGCAGCTGGAAGCGATTCGGGAGCACGCGATGGAGCTGGAGATGTGCAACCAGCACCACCTCGACCTCTCCGCGCCGTACGCTGCTGCTCCCTGCCCCGTGTCGTATCTCCCCTTAATTCCCGCTCCTCCGTGTTTCCTTCTCCCCACACCCATGCCCCTCTTAAACCCTTCCCTTCCCTTCCCTAACCTTCCCCCCACCTCTTCCCCACAACCCCCCCCTCCGGCAGGCGGTACCGCGAGTCGGCGCGCAACCTGCTGCACTACATGGCGCTGCGCAACATGGACGTGCGGCACCTGCAGCAGGCGCTCGCGAACCTGGGGCTCTCCTCGCTGGGGCGCACCGAGGCGCACACTCTCGCGTCCATCCACGCCGTCACGCGCGTCGTGCGCTCCATGCTGCGCGAGCTCTCGCCCAATGACACGTCGTCGTCCGCTTCCGCCTCCTCCGCCTCCTCCGCCTCCGCCTCCGCGTCCGCGTCGACGTCTATCAAGTCTAGAGCCAATTCCAGGAACCTGGTGCGTGTGCTGTGTGTTTGCTGCATGTGCATCGTGTGCAGCATCCATGTTCTCTGTCTTCGTCGCCCTCCTCCTCGTCGCCCTCCTCCTCCCCCGCCTCCCTTCTCTTCCCTCTCCACCTCTCTCCGATCCCCTCCTCCGCATCCCCGTCGTTCCTCCTGTCTCCCCCAATCACCCACCATCTCTACCCCCACACTCCCCCTTTCCACCACACCCCACCCCACCCCACCCCACCGCACCCCACCGCACCCCACCGCACCCCACCGCACCGCACTCCACCCCCGTCGCAGGCGTCTCAAGTGGAGGCCCTAGCAACGGACGTGCTCCCGCCAGTCTTAGACTTCGCGGACGGCGACAGGCAGCTGCAGCGCAACACCGTCGACCTGCTCGGCGCGCATCCGCCCCACCGCAAGACGTTCATCATGGTCACGCTGCCCGCGGAGGCCGCCGCGGACAGGGCGCTGGTGGCGGAGCTGCTGCGCGCGGGCATGAACGTGGCGCGCGTCAACTGCGCGCATGACGACCCCGTGGTGTGGGGGCGGATCGTGGCGAATGTCAGGAAGCTCTCCGCGCAGCTCGGCCGCCCCTGCAGGTTTGTGAGGGGTGGGAGGCGTGGGAGGGGGTGTGAGGGGGTGTGAGGGGGTGGGAGGGGGTGTGAGGGGATGGGAGGGGGTGTGAGGGGGTGGGAGGGGGTGTGGGGGGGTGTGAGGGGAAAGTTTGGGTGGGGCTGTGAGGCATATAGCCACATGGTGCAGGTCTCAATGCTCTCTCTCGCTGCCCTCTGACGCCCTCCACCTTTTCCATTTTTTCACTCTGACATTTCTCCCTCCACCACAACTCCAACCTTCTTTACCCCTCCCCTCCCTTCCCCTCCCGTCCCACCTGTCCCATCCCGTCCGCTCCCGTCTCTTTTCCTCCCCTCCCCTCCCCTCCGTTCCCCCTTCCTCACAGGGTGCTCATGGACCTAGCAGGGCCGAAGCTGAGAACAGGCCCCATGCCTTTGAGTCCACTCTAAACCCATCCCTCCCCTTCCCCCTCCCCCTCCGGTATCCCACCCATCCACCCGCAGGGTGCTCATGGACCTAGCAGGGCCGAAGCTCAGAACAGGCCCCATGCCCGCTGGACCACGGGTGCTGCGCCTCAAGCCCAACAAGGACGCCAGGGGAAAAGCAGTATCCCCCCTGCGCGCCCTGCTCTTCCCAGCCGCGCCCTCCGCTTCCTCCTCCTCCCCATCTGCCACCACAATCCCTCAACCATCAGCAGCAGCAATGGCAGCGCCAGCAGCGGCATCAGCAGCGGCTGCAGCGGCGTCGCTCCCCGCTATCCCCTTGCAAGCCTCCGCGAAGTGGTTCCAGGAGGTACAGACTGGTGACGTGCTCACGATGCGGGACGCATGCGGCAAGAGGAGATCACTGCTCGTGACCGACGTGCTCCCAGCGGCCAAGGGGCCACAGCTCATCGTGGAATGCCGCAAATCCGTCACCTTTGAAACCGGGCTGCCCGTGAGCGTTGAGCGGGCTGAGTCGAAGAACGCCGTGAAGGGGAAGAAGGCAAGGAAGGCAGAGAAGGGCGCAGCAGGAGCAGCAGCAGGAGGAGGAGCAGCAGAGGCGTGTATAGGGGAGCTGGCAGCGACTGAGGTGGCGATAGAGCTGGCGGTGGGGGATGAGTTGTTGATCGTGCGCGGGGAGGGCGAAGGCAGCAAGGCGCAGTATGACGCGGTCACAGGCGCGCTTGTGCGCCCGGCTGCTGTCAGCTGCTCGCTGGAGCAGGTCTTCACGAATCTCAAGGTTGGTTGCTGTGCATGTGTGGGTGTAGGTGTGCATGTGTGCGTGGGTGAGTAGGTGGGGGGGTGGGTGGGTGCGTGCGTGTGCTGTGCACGTGCCCATGCCCATGCATATTTTGGAATGGCCCTGGCGACCCCGGGCTAAGCATGGCATTGCGGCCCACACCTTTCTCCCTCACCTGCTGCCCCAAGCGCACCCCTCATGCTCAACCCACGAGCTGACAGTCTCCCGGCCCACACTTCGATCTCACCCATTCTCTCCCTGTTCATAACATTCCGTCTGCCTGCACCTCTACCCGCCCGCTTCCCCCCCTTTTCCGCATGCCCGGTTGTGCATGTGTACTGCATGAATGCCACCTGTGGGCGGGCAACAGGAGGGAGAGCCGGTGAAGCTGGACGACGGGAAGATAGAGGGCGTGGTGGAGGCGGTGGGGAGCGAGGAGGTGCGCGTGCGCATCTGCAAGACGCCGCCTGGAGGCGCCAAGCTCAAGAGCGAGAAGGTGAGACAGGGGAGTGGGGAGATGGACGGCTAAGGGGTTGTTTGTGAGGGTGCTGCGGGGCAAGGGGAGGAGGGGAGAGGCCTGGGGGAACCTGTGCTGTGTTGTGTACAGCGCCAAGTTGTATGCAGGAAATTGTTTTCCCACGCCATCCCACCCCGCCCCTCCCGTATCTCACCTAACCCAACCTGGCCGTCGCTCCCTCATCCCTCCTGCACCCTCCCCACTCCCCTCAGGCGATGAACCTTCCCGACAGCGATCTGCAGCTGCAGGGGTTAACCGCCAAGGACATAGCCGATCTGGACTTCATTGTTGCGCATGCCGACATGGTCGCATTCTCCTTTGTCAACGACGCCTCCGATGTCACCATGCTGCAGGTGGGTGCAGGGGGGTGCTCGTGCCGCGCCGTGTTGTGCCGTGCCGTGTTGTGCTGTGTGCATGAAGGGGTGGCACATGCCGACATGGTCGCCTTCTCCTTTGTCAACATCGCCTCCGATGTCACCATGCTGCAGGTGGGTGCAGGGGGGTGCTCGTGGCCCGTGGGTTGCCATGCCTGTGCCGTGCCGTATGCATGAAGGAGCTGCTGGGAACGTCCCACTGGTTCTCTGAGAGCCTACCCTGCTGCGCTCTTCCTCTTTTCCGTGTTCCTGTCTGCCGCTCCCGGTCCGGTCCCTGTCAGACTCAACCATCTCCCTTCCCTCCTCCCTCGCTCCTGCACACACCCCCCCCCCCCACGCCGTATATGCCTGGCATGACAGGAGGAGCTGGCGAAGCGGGGAGCGGACGACCTGGGCGTGGTGCTCAAGATAGAGACCAAACGCGCCTTCCAGAACCTGCCATGGCTCATGCTGCAGGTGAGCACACACACATTCACCTGAACATGGGAGCATGGGAGCATATTCACTTTTATCGCTCGCCCTCTGGGCTTCACGTGACGATCTCGTGCGGGAGGGACATGACAGAGGAAGCAAGAGTGTTGAAATCATAACATGCCTGTTCTTAGCAAGGTCCCTATTCGCCTTGTGTCTCTTCCCTCCCTCCCTGCCTGTCCATCCCAAACCACCAGGGCATGAGGGGGTCGGGTCCCTTGGGTGTGATGATCGCGCGAGGGGACATGGCGGTGGAGTGCGGTTGGGAGCGGCTGGCAGAGGTGCAGGAGGAGGTGCTGTGGCTCTGTGAGGCGGCTCACGTGCCCACCATATGGGCTACCCAGGTGCGTGCTGCTGCTTCTGCTGCTGCTTCTGCTGCTAACACTGACACGCAATGCCCAAAATCGTGCATTCTCTCAACCACTCACTCACTGCAGCCCATTGATGTTGTGCCCTTGGTTCCCCTCTCGCCATTCCCTCCCCATTCGCACCCAAAACTCATCCTTCTTCCCCTTTTCCATACCCACCCATTTCGCCCAAACCCCCCCCTCTCTTCTCGACTCCCACCCACCCCTCCCCCCTGCAGGTTCTAGAAGGCCTCGCAAAAACGGGACTCCCGTCGCGAGCGGAGATCACAGACGCAGCGATGGGGGAGCGCGCGGAGTGCGTGATGCTGAACAAGGGTCTGCACATCGCAGCAGCCGTGACGACTCTGGATGACATCCTGCAGCGCATGCGATCGCACCAGATGAAGAAGCAGAGCATGATGCGCCCTCTGCAGCTCTCAATGCCCTTTGTTACCATCAGTTATTCGTCCGCTAGCAGTGACTCGTCCAGTGATTCTTCCAGCGATGAGGAGGCGTGACGAGGTGTGGAGAGGTGTGGAGAGGTGTGGAGAGTTGTGGAGAGGAGTGAAGGAGCATCTGTGCAGTGTGAATTGTTGACACGAGGAGACTCCGGGAGCTGAATGCTGTCTTGGGGCAACAGCAACCCATGGCACCAACTTGTCTGCACTCGGGTAAATCTCCAACTTGTACCGATACCTTTGCAGGTGGACAACTCCAACTGCTGCCACAGGTTATTCCTACCCACCCCTTTACTGGAGCAGCTACCCGCTGTCGCTAATATATTTAATATACGGAAGTCATGGTGTAGTCTCTCGATGTGGTTTGAGGGAAGGAATGGTGTATGAATACGAAAGTGTCTCGTGCTTTGGTGTGAGAGGTGCTTGCCTCCATTAATCAATAAAAGCTTTGTTGAAATTTACTGTACAACTCTGCAAGCCAGAGGCGCGGCGCTGAATGCAAGTACGGTACCTATGAGTACCATACACATCCATCACACAACGAAATGTTATCACCAATGCTTAAAGCGACGGGCAACTTTTGGCAGTGTTGGGTTCAGAAGTTTTTTTTTTGAACCAGGCTTGCCAGCGCGAAAGTGCTGGCTGGCGAAAACCAGGATTTCGTGCGGACACTTTCCATCCGCAGTAACAGTTCGCCAGGGTTCTGGGTTTTGGGTGGCAAATGTGCACCGTCGCTTTAACACTTTTTAAAGCTGCGGTCTACATTCATAAATGCCTTTTTGGGGGACAATTAGCGTGGACACCCTAGGACGCACTCTGATTAGCTTGCGAAGTGACCCTTGTCCTGAAATGGGGGTGCGAAGGGGTCAAACAAGACTGGCGAATCCCGCCAGTTTCGTGAAAAGAACTCGGGTGGGAGAACAACCCTCGGCGAATCCTCAAACGTTTCGAGAGGTTGGAATGGTTTGGCTTTTTCGTCAAAACCAACAACAAATCAGGGTTGGGAATGGGGTTTGGCTAAACTGATGAGCCAATCCGGAGAGTGCGAATTTTCAGGGGGGGGTTGCGGAGGTCACAAATCAGAAATCGCACCTCGCCACTGAAGCTCACAGCAACCTGGTTTTCAAGTGATAAACTCAGGCCTCCCGCGTGAGGTATGTAGGCCGCAGCTTTAAGGATCTGGAAAGCGTTTGCCTCTTTCTGTTACAGGTATGCTGTGTGCCGGTGCTAGCAGAATGTGGGATGGAATTCAGAAACTAAGACAATTGACAAGACATGGGCTTTCAAACTATGCCCCTGTTTGTCCAGGCAGCTTTTGGTAAACTGCCCTACCAAGCCCAGCTAAGAAAGAGACAGGCACCGTAAGAGTGGCGTACAGCATGCTAGCAATCACATAAAACTTTGCGTATATGTTGCAATGCATACAGTTTTTACACACCAGAGTATGCATCAGTATCACACAAAACTTTGCTGTTAATGTGGTGTCCTCTTGATTGAGAGTGAAACCACACAGCAGCACACAACTTACCGATCCCTATTTCAGTAGCTCTCCAAAGACAAAGATAGGTTTACGAGGGTAACCAAGAAAACTGCAGTCGTGCCTGTCACGGGTTGTGTCTTGTGAATGTACACAGGCGCACCAACTCACTGCTCCTGCTGAAATGCTCCATACAGAATGGTTTTTAAGCTTTTAATGAGCCTTCATTTTCCACTCCTAGCCTCCACTCCTCCTGCTTCACAGCCTCAGTTTCATGCCCCACTGCTCCTCCGCCTCCTCCTCACCCCTTCTCGCTTGTCATGCTTCTCCTTTACCCTCCCCCTCCCAGTATCCCCGCCTCTCCTCTCCTCTCTCCACCTCCTCATGCTGTCAGCGGCTGCACGGCAATCACGGACCGCACCACATGCCCATTATTATCCACCCACGTCAAGCTCCCATACGAGAACGCAGCAGACGCTTTCCTCACCGTGATATTCATCTGATACTTCACCGACGCTCCCGGAGCAATCGTAAACGTCCGCGGCTCCAAGTCAATACCGACATTATCAGGAACCACCAGCACGGCACGATACGTAGACGCCCGAGTCCACACACTTGTCACTCTCCGGTTGATCGTGACAAACTTTTTCATGCGCGACACGCTGATGGATGCACGGTTGAGATTGTACGCCGGCACGGGGGTCAGCTGCATGCTCGAAAATATATTATTCGCGCGCCACGTGCTCTGCCCGGCGAGAAAATTCACGAAATCGGTATACGAAGCGTCGTATGTCAGCCCGGGGTTCAGCAACCCACTGGTGTTCACCTGACCCTGCCCCATGTCCCACGGGGTCGCCACGCTCCCTGTATCCGTAGGAATCAACCCGCCGCGATTAGTCGTGGTGCTGGCCGTGGTCATAAACGCCGAGATGATCTGAGCTGGAGACCACGTCGGGTTCTTCTGCACAACGAGCGCGGCAAGCCCCGCAAGGTGAGGTGTAGCCATAGATGTTCCAGAAACCATGCCGAAGTTGGGAGTGGAAGCTTGGGCGAGGGATGGGGTGCGCCAAGGGCCCCAGAGGTTGACGCCCGGGCCGACGACGTCGGGCTTTAAGATGTCGTTGGTGCCGGCCCAGGAGGCCTGCATGGCGGGGTTGACGACGGGGCCGCGCGAGGAGAAGTCGGCGATGACTGGCGCCATGTCGTTGTCGACTGCGTAAGGGGAGGAGATGCGCGCTGTGGGCACTCGCCCTTGCGTTCTGGAGAGGTGGGGGAGAGGTGCGGGGACACGAGAAAAGGAGAGAAGGACACAGTGAGTAAGAGGAGAAGTCGGCGATGACTGGCGCCATGTCGTGTCGGCCGCGTAGGGGGAGGAGATGCGCGCTGTGGGCACTCGCCCTTGCGTTCTGACAAGGGTTGGGGAGGGGTGCGGGGCATGGGGAGAGGAGAGAAGGGCACGGTGAGACGGGGAGAAGTCGGCGATGACTGGCGCCATGTCGTTGTCGACCGCGTAGGGGGAGGAGATGCGCGCCGTTGGCACTCGCCCTGACGCTCTGAAGAGGTGGGGGTGAGGGGAAGAGGAGGTGGGGGAGAGACATGGGGAGAGAGGAGAAAGAGAGAGGGAGAGAGACGGTGAGAAGGGGAGAAGCCGAGAGTCATTGGGGTCATATGATTGTCCCCAAGGGGAGAACTTGGCGGCGAAGCACCTCAGCAGCAAAGAGCAAGCACAATCCAGAGTTATCTCAGAGATCAACCAGGGAGATCAACCAGGGAGATCAACCAGGGAGATCAACCAGGGAGATCAACCAGGGAGATCAACCAGGGAGATCAACCAGGGAGATCAACCAGGGAGATCAACCAGGGAGATCATCAACCAGGGAGATCAACCAGGGAGATCAACCAGGGAGATCATCAACCAGGGAGATCAACCAGGGAGATCATCAACCAGGGAGATCAACCAGGGAGATCATCAACCAGGGAGATCAACCAGGGAGATCATCAACCAGGGAGATCAACCAGGGAGATCATCAACCAGGGAGATCATCAACCAGGGAGATCATCAACCAGGGAGATCAACCAGGGAGATCAACCAGGGAGATCATCAACCAGGGAGATCATCAACCAAGGAGATCAACCAGGGAGATCATCAACCAGGGAGATCAACCAGGGAGATCATCAACCAGGGAGATCAACCAGGGAGATCATCAACCAGGGAGATCATCAACCAGGGAGAACCAGGGAGATCATCAACCAAGGAGATCAACCAGGGAGATCATCAACCAGGGAGATCAACCAGGGAGATCATCAACCAGGGAGATCAACCAGGGAGATCATCAACCAGGGAGATCATCAACCAGGGAGATCATCAACCAGGGAGATCAACCAGGGAGATCAACCAGGGAGAGTTGACAGAAACGTTGGCTCAGAGGTGCCTCAGCCACCTTACCTTCCTTCTCCCCACCACAATCCAGCCCTCAAACAACCCACACTCTTCTCCACGCCCGTCCCCCTCCCCCTCCTCCGCTCCCTTACCGCATGTTACTGAGGTATCTCTGCAACTGCACGGCCTGAGCAGCCGTGATGTGAATCACCGGAATGGTGGACCGTGCTCCGCAGCAACACCGTGTTGCTGAGCCCCTTGCCCACGTTGCTGATAATCACTGCACCTGGATGGTGGCCAGGTTACTTTACCCGGTGGATACCTCTCAGCAAACTCCCCCACATTCCCTTCCACTCCTTCCCACTCCTTCCCACTCCTCTCCCCAACCCTGTCTCTCTCACCCCTGTCCTCCCTCCCCTTCTTACCGCATGTTACTGAGGTATCGCTGCAGCTGCGTCGCCTGGGCGGCCGTGATGTGAATCACGGGAATGGCAGAGCGCAGGAACACCGTGTTGCTGAGCCCCTTGGCCACGTTGCTGATTATAACGGCGGCCGCGCCCGCTGTGACGGCGGCTGAGAGCTTGTCCGTGAGGAAGTTCTCCCCGCGCACGCAGAGGAGGATCTTGCCCGAGACCTTGTTGGCCATTATGGCGTTGGAGTAGCACAGCTTCGCCTGGTGAGGGGGAGAAGGGGGGGATGGGGCAGGGGGCAGGTGGGAGAGGGAAGATTGGGAAGGGAACAAGGTGAGTACTTTGCCCGAGACTTTGTTGCCCATTATGGCGTTGGAATAGCACAGCTTCGCCTGGGGGGGAGGGGAGGGGGAAAGGGGAAGGGGAGAGGGGAGAAGGAATGCGGGAAGGATGGGCGAGAGGGAAGAAGGGAATGGCGGAGAGGGAAAAGGAAGAAGGAAACAAGGTGGGGTGCTTGGTGGGAATGGAAAAGGGGAGGGGGAGAGGGAATGGAAGGGGAGGGAGGTGGATGGACGGGGCGAGTGGGAAGGGAAGAGAGAGGCTATGGGAGAGAAGAGTGGGGAGAAGAGGTTACCGAGTTGTGGGATGGTGGGTAAAATCAGTGAGAGGAAAACGAGAGGGAGAGGGGAGGACGTGAACTAAAACGGGTTTAGGGGGAGTATAGGAAGAGTGAAGGGACAACAAACAATAAAGGAAGAGGCAAGAGGGAAGGTAGAGGCAAGGGAGAGGCAAG